GAGCGGGAGCTGCTGCCCGCAGAGGCCGGCCGAGCTGCGCCTTCATACCGTTCTCCACACGTGAGGCAAAGGTGGCAATAAACATGCCCCGTGCGTGGCACCGAGACCTCCTTTTAAATAAGGAATGACAACTGAAGCTTTTCATGCCCTTTTTGGTCTGAAATTGAATATTTCCGTCACATTTTAGTCTTAGAACAACTCTGAAGCATAGTTATTCCCAACTGGTTCAGGAAGAAAGAAAAAAAAAAATGGGGAGAGATTAAATCTCTTGGGCAAAGCTGCAGAGATAGCAAAGCCAGGAAATGAACTCGGATTTCCTGAGTCAGGCACTGCTGCCTTAACCACAGAGTCATCCTTTCTTTGAGTCATCCTCAGCTTGTGAGCACTAACATAAACATCAGCTCCATTTGCACAGATGTGGTTTTCCCTGCTCTGTTCAGCTGAATGGCTTCTCTGCAACCACTGAAATTCCCTGCAGTTTTTCCCTTCTCCATCTCCTTCCTGAAACCAAAAAAAGCTGTACTGCAGACCCACTGCGAGATCCTTACACCTCCCCAGTATAGTCCCTGGTAGAGCCACCCTTTCTAACTCCAGCTCCTGCTTGTGTCATCTGAAAATGATGAGAGAGACCAACCTCTAAAAGAAAATAATACAACAACAACAAATCTTGAGAGATTTTAGGCAATCTGAGGGCCTGCCTCTATCAGTTTATACATTTAACAAATTGCCACAATGCTTATAAAGCCTCATGACTAAGATTCACACTCTGAGCAAAATCTATACCTTTTCTTAGAATAATAGCTTCAAAAAGCGAGCCTTACACACCCTAATTCTAGTTTCTGATTTTGTGACCAGAAAAACACTTAGCAATCCTACCAAATAACTACAGGCCAAAATCTAGCTAAGATTCACTGTAGCGTCTCATCTTACATGTTTAGCATCTGATACACCCCCAGCTTGAGGACTTTATATTCAATTGATTTTATATTAAATTGCTTTAAATGGGCCTATAGGCTTGTTTCTTCACTGACCTAGAACTGTGGCGCCTGCAAAAACAGAAGATGCAGCAATGATAACAGCAAACGCCCCAAGCAGAGTGTAAGAGCGGGGCGAGCAGACAGTGGTATTTACACAAATATTATTCCAACCACCCTAGTTGGCAGACCAGGGAGTGTATTTTTCCCTCAGATTTCTTCAGGTATAAGTGACTTCAATGCAGGCAGCAGTTGAGAGACCTACCTTCCCTAGAAATAGTTGAGCAGGCATTTTCTGAGTATCCTGCTGTAACCTTGCTAGCTTCTACACTTTCATCTGACTTGCTGATAGATAATGAAATGAGATAGGAGTCAACCACGAGCTCTTCAACGTTTACTTCACCAATTATTGTAAATAATAATATTTCTAGCCAGCTGGTGCATCACGGGCTGGCTTGAAGGGGAGCTCCTGCTCCTTTAAATGTAGACTGGTTTCCACTTCATACACTGCTACAGAAGTGCACATATTTCCCTAACTCCAGTGGAAAATGAAAGAAGGTTGTTCAAATTTGTCCATGTAATTGTGTTCCCTTCTCTTTCCCAAACCTGAACCTGATGTTTCCCAACCCTGCAGTACAATTAAGCTGAGTGTGTTTCAGGCAAAGCCATCCTCAAAGCCAGGACACCTTCATTCCTTCCTTGTAGCATTGCAGAAGAATCATTCTTGTCATAATGCTCACACCAAACAGACTCGTTAGGTAGCTAATATACCAGCACCGGCACTCCTTAATATGCTCCTCATAATTATTTCCTTTTTACCCTGTTTACCCTCGTCTTGTTACTGTATCCAGGTATCTTCTGCTCTCCCTGATTCTAGTAAATCTGATGCTTGAACCATATTTATCTCTGCATTGTTTCCAGTGCAAAAGGGCTAGGCAGCTGCGTGCCACAGTTTTCTTCCACATATAAATCATAACTTAGTAATGGCTGGAATTTTATTTTTACAAAAAGTGAAACACTCTTGTATGGACACTCACCATCTTAAGAAATATTTTTGAAAAGGAAAACAGGCTAGAATTATAGAGCATATTTTCCCTTTGTTAGAGATGAATTTTTCATGAAATCTATGATAGAACATATATATCAGGACAGTTAGGGGGTTAAAATCATTTCAAAGCATCCTGATTCCGTAAAATTTATTCATTGAAAGGCATCAAAGGAACAACTGGCAATTTCAGTCATTGCTGCCTTCCATACTATGCAGCCAGTGGATAAGTGCTAACCACATTTCCTTGAAAAGGAAAATATGTTTTCAGTAGTTTGAATTCTGTTTGTCCTACCTAATAAGGCCATTTGCATTGTTTTCCTTATAGACATGAAATATCTGTGCTATCTGGAGGTTTTCCTCTACAGACAAATTCCTTATCTTCATTTGCATCTCTACAGATAGTTCTTTTAGTAGTGAATAAATCCTTTACAGTTTCTAAGTTGTGACGTGACACCTGGGATCTGCTGTCTCTGGAATTGCCAATTTCCTTTTCAACCTCTTATACTTTCATAAGCTATACAAATAACTTCACTTTTCTAATACAAACTACTGCTACTAAAAATTTTGCACTAAAACACCTAATACAAGTTAATGACTGATACCAGAGCTGCTGCTTCTGATACCAGCTACAAGAAGAACAACGGGCTAATGCCCCATACAAAAATAATGACATGATTGTGGTAAAGAGTGTGCCGATTTATCATCTCCAAGCGCAGTACCTGCAGGCAGGCAAACTTTGTACCACTATCCAATAAATAGCTGCATAAAAATAACTGATAGGGAATTCTGCTTGGTCTTGACAAGGGTTTATGACAACTGTACCTTCCTTTCTATGCATGCAGAAAGAGGCAGAGATGAGCTCAAACTTGGGCTGCTGAAATATATGAAAACCTTTTGTTTTTAAGACTAAGAGTTACTCGAAAAGGAATCCAGTTTCATAGAAATGAAGCACTTGAGCATTTACAATACTTTTAGACATTATGATATTTACCACATGCCTAGGATAATATTTAACTGAAGAACTGTTCGTTACCAGTTGCACCCCTAGTCTGCTTTCTAAACAGCTGGCTCAGGCTTCCACTTTGGATGTTATATGTCAATGTCCATTTATTTATGTTTTTAGTGAGTAAATGATGAACTAACCTTCTCCTTTCACTTCATCTCTTTTTCTGTCTTGTAGGTCAAACTCTTCTCATAGGCTTCTGACCTGAAAGACAGCATTTAAATACCATCTCAGGGTTTCTGCTTTTAAAACACCGAAACGTGTAATTCTGTGGCCAGTAGTGCTGACGGTCCGAGCCAAGCTGTGAGAAACAACACAGTTACCCAAGCCTCACCTTATGTGATTTACCTAATGTCTAGCGTTTGTACTGCAATACTGCATTTGTATTCATATGACTGAATCCCCTGGGGAATACAAATGCCTAACATTCCCATACAGTGAGTGGGATTTTTAAGGGTTCTGAAACGTACACAAAAGTGTTACTTCAGCTTGACTTATAGGTATGGAGATTATTTCTGTTTGTGTAATTAAAATGAATGCTAAAGCAGGCTGGATAAACATTTTAGCCACATCTTTATAAATGAAAGCTTGACTGTATCTCAGAATTCAAGAACTGTAACACTGTCATGGAAATTAGTCTAGTGTGTTTGGATTTTCTTTTTTAATTACTCTGTGAAGACATCAATTACACAACAGTAAAAAAAATTAACTTACACTTATATATGTAATAACTACCTCCAAAGTTAGGCGTATGAGATAAGTTGATTGGAATTCAATGAAATCTCACAGAATTCAGAAAAAAAATCAAATATATTTGGCATTATAAAGCTTATCTTTATGTAATAAACATTGGTACAAAGTGACTTGTATTGAGTGAATGCTTAATCCTAAAGAGATTGATATGAACAATATGTATTTTGGGAATTTAATGGCATTTTAAACAGTACAAAGCTGAAAAATGCTTAATAAAGATGAAATGCACCTTTATTTTTAGTTTGTGTAGCTACCATGTCCTCTGTTTTACATTACCATTACAGGTTTGAATCCTGTGCTTTGCAGAAGTAAAACTGTATTTACAGTGGGCACCCAGCGCCGTGGCTAACCCAGCAGCAGAGCTGTGCGCAATGAGGAGGAGCGAGCGCAGAGCCAAGAGCCCCGCAGCAAGCGCAGCCCCCTTATCGTGGCTTTCCTTCAGCATCCGCGTTAACATCCGCCCATGGGCAGA